TCTACCGCCAGCCCTGAGATGGCCTCCTGCAGTTCAGGCATGGAAGTTGCTATGTGATCTCAGTGTCAGAAACATGATTTCACAACCAGGAACTTGGGAAGCAAGGTTCTGTCTTGCTGGTGTCAAACCCTAAAACCAGGTGGTCACATCTCTGAGGGGAACACCCCCCCAATTCCAGAATCAGCCAGGTCTTGGTGATGCATGCCAGGTTGACTTGTTCCTTTCAATAAGATCTTGAATAAGGGGAGCCTTATCATTGACTGACCTAGCATTTACCAGCAGCAAATGGACCTCAGGGCCTCTAAATATATATTGTCCAGAAACTGGGAATGAATGACTCAGGGAGACTGGAACACACCATTGATACTACACATTGGGGACATCCTGGAACACCCCATGCCCTCCCCTCCATATGCACTCATGCACTTTCTCAGACATCCTGTAGGGGATAGGTGAGGGAGGCATGTATTATGTGGTAGCATGTAATCATTTATTCGCTATTACTAGAAAAGAAACTGCAGCAATTGTGACTCTTCCCTGGACTTGCTGATCAGAGCTTGTTGGAAAGCCTCCTTATCTTCAGCCATCTTGAAACTATGGACGCCACATGCTCAGTGTTCCAAGAGCCTGTTTTCCAGTTGCCCACAGCCAGATTTTCATTTTTTACAGTGTGCTAAATGATCTCTTTGCATTGCATGTATTGATTACCAATTCAACCCAATAAAAAGGGGCACATGAATGACTAGAAAACATTACTTTGTTCCAGGAGACCAACATTTGGAGCCTGATCCCAATAGCAGTTCACAGTAGTGCTGTCTACATCTCAAGCCATGCTCTGTATCAATAAAGTTGGGAATATGATCCAATATATCAGAACCCCCAATATCATTAGAGAACTGCTATTCAGTAATAGCTATTGTGCAACAGTGAATGGACTGCTTCTTTGTTCTCTGCCATTAATCATATGGCCAGAACCATAATTATGGAATCCAGATACAGAATATAGTAAGGTCTTCAGTAGTACTCCTCATCTGTTGAAGCAGGTGGATTAATATTGTGGTGGCTGCCAGATCAATTCCCTTTTTCTCAGCCAAACTCTCCAGTATAGCCAAGATCTTACAAAATTTCCACGGCTTAATTCATGTTCTCTTTTATTTCCTTAAAGAAATATGGTTAATATGGTTAAACCATCATTTATAAACAAAGGTGAAAATATAGAATTAAATTCTAGAATTTAATTCTAGAATATAGAATTAAAATGAGAAAATGATAAATATGGTTTTGGTGTGCCCCTTTCTGGCATTCACATCATATAGCAAAAACATAAAATCTAACTTCAGGTTTTGGAGAGTTCTTTGAAGGCATTCATATATCTCAGCAAAAACTTACATAATATGGTTTTATATATATATAAATGTAAATGTTAATTTTCTAGAATTAAATTCATTTTAAATCTAAAAATAAATAAATGCAATAGTGTATCACATTTCAAGTTGTCTTCCTACACTAAAGAAAAAAAATATCTTGCCATCTGTTATGCCTTTGGAACTAATCTAAATTTGTATAATGTCTGCTCTGGTAAATGTTAATTTTCTAGAATTAAATTCATTTTCAAACTAAAATGAAGTGATAAATAGATACAATTGTAGTTATGTACAGTTACACAATTGGAGTTGTTTACAGAAACAAAAATATTTCTAAAATTAAGCCCCAAGGCAAGAACTACTGAGAAGATTTAAGGACATCGATAAAATTAAAGATGTCAAGAGGGAGAAAAATAATTCCCATATGTATTTTGTTAAGTAAAATTATATCAAATGCCTCTTAATTTTGCATGGTTGCACCTAACATCATGATTATTTAAGTAGCCTTATACATACTAAATTTGGTAGAGATATATGTGCAATATAAACTAGAAATTATTACCAGTATAATAATTTAGATAATTTAAACGTGTAAAGAGAAAATAGTTCTATCAATGTTAAAATTGTATAATAGCATGTATTTATGGTTCATGAATATTAAAATGAGAAAAAAATAAAAAGGGAAAAATTTTAAAAGATCTTTTACAAAAAGCTCCCTTTAGCTGGGATTCTCTTGGAAGAAGTTTGTTCTCTTAGTGCAACATACGGTGTTCTGTATTTCATTCAGGGTATTCAAGTAATGCATCATCAGATCTAATCTGTTTGTAGCAGAATGAACAAACAAACTCAGGGATATTAATTATTACCTGTACACTACCTATGCTCCCTGCCTTAGACAGGGAGCCATCACATTTTTACTTCATCAATTTGTCTATATTTAAGCCATGCTTTGGTATGCTTTGAGGACAAATGGGACAACTCACCACAGCCAACTCACTGTGGCCAATTTGCTGAGGGACAGTTTGCCATGGTTTATTTGTTGCAGGATAATTCACTGCAGGACAATTCAACAAATATAAAAGTTAAATTAATTTCAATGGAACTGTGACAAATAATCATAAAATAAATTCAATCCAGAAATACAAGAGTTACAATAATTTTGATGAAAACCTGGTCAGCAATAATAAAAGTAACTGAATGAAATGATTCATACAATATTGAATTACCCCACAGTGAGTTGTCCTGTGACAAGTTGGCTGTGGCAAGTTGTCCTAGACCACTTTGAGAATAGACATTGCAAAACTCTCAACATCATTACTGGAAAGGGGATAAAGTCAAGGAACTCTTCTAGATACTAAAATGCATGCCACAAGGGACCACATACTGCACATAAGGACAGATGTTCTCTCCTGTTTCTTTTTATTGTGGTATTTGCCAGAATAGAAAATCAATAGCATTATTTGCAGGCAAAATTATTTTCTCTCTGAGCACCTGTTCACAGATAGCGATGAGCTGGTGCCTGACATGAACAGATGTGTATCTTGCATAGTGTGACACTGTCTCCAATGTTTCTTTGTGCATCAGTTTGGTACTCAAAAACAGTTTTCATACTGCCAAAGCCACTTGTACTTCCATAGACAGTTGTAATAAGATCTGCAGAGGTATTTTATGAGGTATAAGATATGAGTGGGGCTAAAGTTGGCTATTTACTTAGGCTTACGAATGATTATTTACTGTATGTTGGCCTACTTTCATCACTGCATTGATGAAGTCCAACTTAAAAATAGAGGTAAACTTATAGGATATTTTCTAACTTCAGCCATTTATCATGCAATATTCAACACCTCTACATATGTAAAACATAGACTAAGTCCAAACATAGACTAAGTACAATATGTGAAAAGCCATACCGAAATGAATGTATTTGTAACACGAATAAAATTTCTAACATTAAAATTTCCAACTTGTACAACCATCTCCATAATATGGGCTGACATTACATTGTGTGTTATCTAATATATAGCATCTCTCATTAATCATGGGCGATTTTAATAACTGAAACATAAAATGATAGGGCAGTAGGCCTATGTCTTCTTGGTCCATGACACTAAAGGTACCTTCTACTTGGCCAAATGGATTTGTGTTTTGTCTTCAGGAATATGCACAATAGACTATTACAGTTTAATAGAAGAGTACTCCTGAATTTCCCTTGAAATCAGCACAGGATCTGTGCTGTTAAATGTTGGAGTGCAGATCCCAATTGTAAGATTGACCCTAAGCCATGATAGAATTTTCAAAAAGCCAAATGGAAAGCATTTGCTACTGACCTGGACCACAAGGTTCAATGGATTTCCCCTAAGGTAGAAAACTACAATTGATTTGTGAGACAACTACTTTTCATAGCTAAGAAGTACATCCCAAGGGGCTACAGATAAACATGTATCCCAGATGGAGCCAAGAATACATAGAGTTATACCATCAATACGTGGCTAGTCATGAGCCTGAAGTTGCTGATTAACTCCTCCAGTGTCTAGATTCTGCCACGAGAAAAAAATGGTAACAATCTCATGGAGCAAACAAATTTTCAGTCTGCCAGCAAAAAGGCTTGGTCCCTATTCACAAAATCTGGAGATATGTCAATGAAACAAACCCCAAACACCGGCAACTTTGATCCCTAATGATGTTGCAATTAGAATTTTAAATCTTACAAGAAAAACCTCAGGAACAAATAAAGAGAATACTAGCAAAATCAAAAGGGAGGGGGAAAAAAGCACCTGAAAGCAACATGTCAGAAGAATTTTCTACATCAGAAATCATTTAACATTTAGGAAAAACCATGGATAAAATAAAAACAAGGAACAATATTCTACATAAATTTTCTGGCAACAGCTGGAGAGCAAGTGCTACAATTCTTAGGACATCAGCTCTTGCTTTGGTATAGTTCATGGCCGAGTATTATAGCCCTTATGGTTAAACAGTGTCCACACAAAAACAGTGGTTATGCAATTTGATCACATTATGAGGCTAATATTAGGAATTATTAAATCAACATCTTCCAAATGGCTACTAGTATTATCTAACATACCATTCCCATATCTTACAAGACATTCAGCCTTGAAAAGGGAGTGGCAAAAATGTGAGGCAAACTGTTTATTACCTATACACGAGGACTGTCATGATCAAATATTCAGACTTAAATCTCCGAATCTGCCATGGAAAGTTGGATAGCAACTAGTCAGAGAAGACTTTGATATTGAGATAGCATGGTACCAGGAGTGGGCAACTTCTGACCCAGATTTAATTTAGTGTATAACTCCCCATTGGCTTTGATCTCCCAAGGAAAATCTAGGCAGTGTTCAACTGGATCCAAACTAACATGGCAGGTTCAATATTGGAAATATAAATGGGGGTTGGTTGATAATCCTGTGACTGTAGGAACATCCCACAAACTTCTGTATCACATTGTAATAGAATGCCCCTTCAGAAGTTTCCCTGGATACCTGCATGAAATACATCATTTTGAAAGCACTGCTGTCCAACGGCTAAACAATCTAAATGTCCAGCCATAGATTTAGTCATTCTGGTAACTGTCAACATCCAGCTCAAGAATCCAAATAAAACTCCAGGTTCATTCAGTTTCCGAAAATCTGACTGTTTATTGAATACACTGCATGGTAATGTCAAAGCAAAACTAACTCTGAGATTCCCAGACACCAGTTCAGCGTTAAACAATAATTTCCCCAGCTAAACCCCCCACCTCTCATGTAGTCCAAGTAAACAAATTCACTTTCTTATGTCTGCTTCAACTCCACATCTGCTGATGTCCTTGAAACTGTTTCAGGCTCTCACAATCTTCAGCGGGATTGTTGAGGTTTCGTTTCTCCATCTAACTCATTCTAAAATGCCTCCCCCTCCTTACTCTAATGGCAAGTTGAAAAGAAGAGGCACGTAGCTACCAAAGTTTCCTACTTGACAGTAACTTCTCCTGCATAATTTAATTTTATTCATAACTTGTGTTGTATGTTTTTAAAACAATTCACTGCTCTGATGTTTTATATTTTGCCATACATTATATTTTGCCATACATTTTATATGCTGTTTTCTGTGAATTTTATGCATTGTGCTGCATTTTGCTACGCTATACGATATAAATAAAATTGTCAGAAAACTATGATGGGCAGAATGACTCTTAGTTTCCTGCAATTTTTGACAACCTCTCATCACACTTGGTTGTCAACAAACAGGCAACATTTTGTTGGCTTTCTCCTTGTCCTCAGGAAGTTCAAGATGGCATCCATTGTAGCTCTGTACCATTTGGTGGTTAATATGGTTAATATGTGGAGGCTGATGGAAATAACAATCTCCATAAAAATGGAGATTGGCAATGTTTAATGCTCCCTGTTTCCCCTAAGACTGGTTGCAGAAATAAGACACACTTTAACATGTACTTCAGTACTTCAATGTGTACTGGTACAACTACAGTGAATAGAAGACCTGTGGGACAGATGTGACCTGCCAGAAGCTGTAGTAGGCTGAAGGGAGAAACAAATGCTACAACAGTTGTTGTCTCGGTCCTCAGTGTGGATCGTGTTAGGAATATAAAATCCAGTCCCTCGACTCCCTGTAGGTCCACCGGTGGGCAATGGTAATTGCTGCTTGCTTCCTTCTTCTCAGGGCTAAACCAGTGGCTCAATCTCTCTTCTGAATAGTCTTTACATCTGCTTCATTTTGTATAAACTTTATGTTCACATCTGGAGGAAAAATCTGGATAAAAAAACACCTGGATCACAAAACACACAATAAAATTGCATTAAAATGAAACACACATAGCACTAAAAGCAAAACAATGCATTGCATGCAAACAATTGTGAGAGAAAAAGAAGCAGAACTATCTTAAAAACATTTTCCATTCAGAAATGACATAGCCCAAGGAAGCAGTGGAAAACATTAATAGTACTTTACTTCATCATCCCCAGTTTTAGACTCTTTCTTGTGACTCCTTCACCTGAAAGTGAAGCTCACTTTCAGGCAGAACAAGTCATCTGGAGGGCACTATAAAATGAAATGGCACTCTCTCTCAATAGAGGAGTTCCAGATAGCCTTGTTTTACTGAACCTTAGTTTGGAGTTCAAAGAAGTGATCTTACAGAATACAGAACATACATCACAGAATAGAGTTGGAAACAATCTTGGAAGTCTCCTCGTCCAACCCTCTGATCAAACAGAAAACCCTATGCCACTTTAGACAAATGGCTGCCATGATGAAGAATCCAAACTTCTGTAGGCAAACTATTCCATTGGTTTATTGCTCTCACCGTTAAGAAATTTCTCCTTAGTTCCAGGTTGCTTCGGTCCTTGGTTAGTTTCCATCCATTGTTTCTTGTCTTGCCTTCTGATGCTTTGGAAAATAGTCTGACCCCATTGTCTTTGTAGGAACCCCTCAAATATTGGAACACTGGTATCATGTCTCCCTTAGTCCTTCTTTTCATTAGAATACACACACCCAATTTCTGTAACTGTTCTTCATATATTTTAGCCTTTAACCTCCTAATCATTCATGTTGCTCTTCTTTGCACTCTTTTCAAAATCTCAACACCAGGCTCAGACCAGAATTGGGAATAACATCTTTCTAACTGCAAAAATCAAAGAGGACACAGTGCAATTTGTTTATTTATTGCAATTTATTTATAGCCACCTTTATTATTTTTATAAATAACTCAAAGCAGTGAACATACATAATACTCCTATTTTCCACAACTACCCTTTGAGATATGCTGGGCTGAGAAGAGAATGATTGGTCCAAAGTTATTCAGCTGGCTTTCATGCTTGCATACATATGGAAAATCATGTAAATGGCTCTACTCCTCCCACAACTGCCATTGACTTCTGTTTTCCACTTGTTCATATCCTGCCCAATCCTCAGCAGCCTTCTTTTAAATTGTTTTTTTTTAAAAAATAGGGGTCCCTGTTGTCAAACCAGATAGAAGCATAGTTTTCCAACTGCAATTCAAAGAAAATGCACCCCCATTATCACCAGGACAAAAAGCAAGACAATTCTGGAAAAAGCCAGTGTTTCCCTCTCCTTACCTAGCATCAGTTTCTAATCTTTTTTCACTTTCCACTTGAGGGTTTCACATCCAGACTATACAAGTCCGTCTTTTAACTGAATTTTTGAAAATAAGGGGTCTGTACTACAAAAACAGGGTGGAAAAACTTGTTTTTTTACCTGCAGTGTAAAGAACATCCGTGTGTGATGGTTTCTACCACAGTTTCTAAATGATAGAAATACCACACCCCAGGGCAATTTTGAAAAGGGTTTAGGTAAGAGAAAGAAAAGCTGTTCCTCCCCCCGAAATGATATGAAGCCTGTGAAAAAAGTGCTGGAAAATGTGCAGTAGTCATGACAACAGACTCTACTACTGACCTAAAAAGAAACAAGTGCCTTTACAGGAAAACATATTTCCATTCACGGGGTTTCCTTCTACTAGTGTATAGTTATTTCTCAGGGATAAACAGCGCTTAAAAAAAAATCTACTAGAAAGTCTCTATTCCGCTGTCTCCGTTTGAGTTAAAAATAACATACCGCACCATCTGTCACGTTCCCATGACGTTCACATGCACTGAATTGCGGCATCACGCTCTGTGACGCAGCTCGTATCCGGAGAAGCTGTACATAGGTTTCCGGTAGCGGGTCAGCTAATTGAGTGGGCACTGGGATAGAAAGCTGTAGTAGAGCATTGTTGGTGCTTTCTTGCCTGCTGATGTTTTAAATACGGACCCGTTTTAGCTCGAAGCGGGCGGCTGGTAACACGTTGTTGTTTCCCTATTGGTTCTGCAATGGAGCTTTTCTCCGGATGTATTGCAGGAAGGAAGAATGTGAGCGAATTGGCACAGAGGGCAGTGATTACTGCCATAGCATGCTCTCTTGTTGAGTGGCGTCCTAAACTCTTCCTGGATTACCCAGTGAATAAGAAAAATCTTCAGGCTGTAGACAGTTTCACATTCTTGATGAATGCAAATGTCAGAAAAAAAAGGATCCTTTTATATGAGGGCTATTTGTAAGCTACTATCAAATTACAGGACATTGTGTTTATTGACACGAAATCAGCTGTAACAATGAATATGATGGGAATGGTATCCCCCTAAAACCATCAATTTACAAACAATACAATTCTCAATGAAACAAATCATAATAATCCCATTTAATTATTTTTTGAAATTTATCTAGTGCAAAACATTTTAACGGGGGCAAAAATCCCCAGCATTAAGATTCACTTAAAAACAAGTTTAAATCACGGGTGACAACTGATCTACCAAAGTCATGGTTTTGTCCATATGTTTTTTCAAACTCACCTAAATGTTCCTGCTTAATTGTCATGCCATGCAGTTCATATTTAACTAGCTTGTTAAACCATAATGTTGTGTAATATTTTGTTCTTACTGTTGAATGAAAGTAAGATACATTTACAGTATTCCCAAAATGTGTTAAGGAAGTTACCCAGTTAATAAAATAATGCTACTCTGATAAAATTTATGCTTACTTCTGGCACTCATTGCATTGTTCACAAGATATTTTTTGATATGCTCTAGAGTCTGCCTATAGGTATCACACATTGAGGAATCTTTGTAAAGGAAATGAATAATAAGTTACTCTTCTATTAAAAATGGATTAAAAAGTTATGATATTACTGTTGCAATCTGACCACAAATTGTAATAAGTAGAGACAATGTGTTATAACTTGCTGGAAGCTCCCTTGGAGACAGGAGCCTACGCCATGGGCAAGACCACTATTGGTAAGAAAGGAACAGCTGCTCAAGGTGAAAATCAAAAGTAAACATGATAAGTTAGTTGTTAGGCAGGAAATGTCAAGATGACCCTTTAAAGTGTAAAACAATGTGGAAAATGACTTAGAAGAATAAAGGGGAGTTGGGTGGCCTTCTTAGGCATGGTGTGCATTGTGTCGGAGTATAAAGTGTGTAGCTTGAAAACTGCATTTTGCAGTTTTGGGAAAGTCTAAGAGGCTGTGCTTGCAACCACTTTTTATTTTTCTTCATTTTATCTCCAATAAACCTTTGATTTTGTGAACCAGACTTGTTTATGAATTGTGAGGATTAAAATATTTAGGTCTTATATCTCACATATAGTTTCCTGGGTCATTTTTTTTGCCTTTTAGAAAATATGAACAATATCTAGTTATCTGATGTTCTAGCAGGTTTCCTAAATTTCTCAAAGATAATACAGAGAGTTTCAGTCAGACCATTCCTTCCCCACTCTAGTATGCAGATCATCTGCACTTAAATTGAATATGTGCTTCCTGACCACATAGCTGTCAATTTTGAACTTCATTCTTGCCATTCATTCTGATCCTCATCATTTTCTGATGAAATACATTATATCTTTGATGGAAAAGATGCAACAAATAGGAATTTAATAACACTTATTTTTACAATCTAGTACTGTTCAATCTTCACTGGAGATACACTAATGTTAATCTTCTCATTTTGCCTCTACCAGATGGAGATGTTTGCCAGCCATAACTCTACAGCCATAACTGTAGATTTTACAAATCATCTTTACAAAATTAAGCCACAATGAATACTCTTTCCACATCCTATACATTTTCCATTTTCATATAATTATTCAATTTTTGTGCAGGTACAATAACCTTTTTTTATTGTCTTTCTTTTTATGACTTTTGCAATTTTCTCTTTATTATATCCATTTTTAGAAACTCCTTTTTACAGGTAGTATTCAAGTTATGATCACTATTGAAACCAGAATTTTAATTGCTAACAAGGTGGTTGTTAATTCAGTTACGCATGATTTTACAATTTTTTTGCTGTAGTTGTTAAGTGAATCATGTAGTTGTTAAATGAATCTGGCATTAACTTCTTGGAAACTGATTGAGAAGATCACAAATGGTGATCACGTGTCCCAGAATACTGCAACCATCATAAATATGTGCTGGTTGCCAAATACCTGATTTTTGATCACATGACTGTGGGGAGAGTGCAATGATTATAAGTAGTGGTTCAAGTACCAGTTGTATGTTTATTTGTTTTATTTATATAACATTCAATTTTCATCAAACAGTGTTTGTTCTGGGTACAATTATGTTTAAATAGTCATATTACACATCTTGCGATAGTCATCACCATCATATTAATAATATAATAACATAATAATATAATAACATTAATACTTAACACTTAATATCATCTTCTTTAACAACTCTCCACTTACCATTTCCTCTTTTTATATCTCCTCCTTTCTAACTTCTCTTTCTGTTATCTAGCCATTGATAGAATATGTCCCATTTCAAAAAATATTGAGTTTCTTCTTTATCCTTAATAGTAAGGATAACTATTGGTGAGGAAGAAACTGCAAAAATATGTTCAGTTGCAAGGATATATAAAACCCATTGCCTCTAATTCCCCTCCGCATCTAGTTCTTGATTTTTTCCCTAAAATAACAAGCAGCAGAAAGCATAGAAGTCTGTAGGCTGTGTTGGAAGGAAGTAGACAAATGATGACACATGCATGACAATATTAGGCAGATGTCAGGAGTTCTGGAGGGCAAAATGCAAGGATGTAGCCACAAGATACCTGAAAAGGAGACATATCTATTGAGGAATGAATAGAGTTGTTATAAGCAACAATTCTGCAAGAAATAACTCAGTCCAAGTCCAACTCAGTAGAGATATAGTAACTGCAGGACAGGTAGTCCTTGATTTACAACCACAATTGAGCCCAAAATTTTTTATTTAAAATTATTAAAAAATTACAGAAAAAATATAGCAATATGGATAGAATTGCAGAGAGTAATATAATACATATAGAAGTATCAATTTTTGCCTAGAGATAGTACAAACCTCCATTAAACCAACTCATAAAAAAAAAAAAAAGATTATCCAGAAGAAAAAATTCTCAACTGCCATGCAATGCTCCTATAAATATTTACCCACATTCACACTAAGATTAATATTTTACATTCTTAAGATTTCTTTTTTTGCAGTCAAGCATACCACCTGTCCCAGCTCCTATATAACCCCAATTCTAGTCTATCTTGCAAAAGTCCCATAAGCTTGTCTATTTCTGCACAGTCCATGATCTTTGCAGTTAACGTAGCCTCCGATGGAGTATTTTTGGATTTCCATTCTTGCGCAAACGAGATCCTGGCTGCAATGATGATGTGGAGAACGAGATACCAATTAGATTTGTTTAAGTTCTCTGGTTTCATGCCTAGTAAAAACATTTCCGGGTTCAATTCTATCCTACATCCTATGATTTCTAAAATCCATTTTTGAATTCTAGCCCAATATTCTTTTGCTCGGGGACAGGTCCAACAGCTATGAAAATAAGTTCCCATAGCGGCGTTGCATTTCCAACAAACTGGAGAGGTTCCCGGGAACATCTTCGATAATCTAGTCGGAGGCAGGTGCCATACAACATTTTGTATATATTTTCCTTATAGGAAACTGACATTGTTAATTTTAAGATTTTCCCCCAAATTTCTTCCCATTTTTCAAGTTCAATCGAATATCCCAAATTTCTCTCCCAGGCAATCATTGAGTCCTTGATAACCTCCTCTCTAATCCAATCCATTAAGAGGAATTGATACAGTTTGGATAATACCTTCTCATCTTTTCCCAACAAATCTTATCAAGTTCTTGTAGGGAATTATAGATTCCTCCCTTGTTTTTGTCCTGGATTGTCTGGACAAAATGGATTGGATCTGATTGTATGTCCACCAATCTAACTCATAGCCTAATTCCACTAGCGTATTTCGAGATTTTACTTTGCCTAAAGGATCCAATAGAACTTGGTAAATTAATGGTTTATTTCTGTTATAAAGAGTCGGGTGTATCATCGCCTCTAAAGGGGAAAGCCAAATCAGAGTCATCAGGTAATATTTATTTCTTATTCAATCCCAAATAGTCATCAAAACCTTTCGGATAAAGTGGTCCATAAAGTATTTATGTTTTTTGGGCCTTTCCTGACTCAGATAATAATGCCACCCCTGTTGCAAATTGTGGCCTTCCAAACTAAGGATTCTCCTCCTCCTCAAAGCAATCCAGTCTCTGATCCAATTTAAGACAGCTGCTTGATGGTAAAGCTCCCATTTAGGTAGGCCAAATCCTCCCCTGGAAGGGGATTCTTGAAGCATTTTCAATTTAATCCTTGGTTTTTTGTTCTGCCATACAAATCTACGTATACATTGATTTAAAGATTGAAAAAAATTTGTATCTAATAAAACTGGGGCTGTCTGAAAAAGAAAAATCCATTTAGGCAAGATATACGTCTTAACTACTGCAATTCTACCTAATAATGATAACTGTAATTATCATTATTTCCATCCTTCCAGCATTTCTTTAGTTTGACCAAGTAGTTTCTGGTAGTTATCTTCTTTAATGGTCGAGCATTTGGATGAAAGCCAAATGCCTAAGTATTTCAGTTTTTTAACTATCTGAATCCCTAGTTCTTCCTCTAACTGCACTTTTTGATTCTTCGTCATATTCTTAATTAGGATCTTTATTTAGGTTTTATTTTTATTTAATTTAAATCCCGCTACTTTCCCGTAAGCCTCCCAACTCCTGGAGCAAGATTGGTCCCGATTCCAAAGGTTCTTCCAAGACAAATATCAAATCGTCCGCAAAGGCTTGGAGCTTAAACTCTTCTTCTCTGATCCTTAGCCCCCTAATTCCTTGGTTCCTTCTGACCTCATTCAATGATAACTCTAGGGTTAAGATAAATAAAAGTGGAGATAATGGGCATCCCTGTCGAGTACCTTTACTTATATAAATCTTTTC